GGGACAACTTCCGCTTCCAATCGCCTAGGCGATTGCAGCATAAGTGGGAGTGGGTACCTGTCAAATTCGGGTACTCGCTCCCCCCCTCCGCTCCCCAAAGGTGCCAATCCATAACGGGGAGCAGGGGACAGAGGCTTAAAGCGGAACTTCCCCTTTTGGGTGGAGCTCCGCTTTAAGGTAAAAAAAAATCTTGAGACCTTTAGAGCCACTTTACACCACAACAGGGCATCAAAAACTGATCAGTATGAAAGGGCTCTTAGGTTAGTGCATCTGAATTCAGTATTTGCTAAAGTATGTGGCTTCTCTGTGGCTCTTTCTGTCTCGCAGGGCTTTTAAAATTAACACATATGCAAGCCATACATGGGTCGAATTCCGATCGATTTTTTGTCCAAAAATCGAAAACGTCGTTTGCTCAGTAATCCAATGGTGCCATGAAGGATTTAAAAAATCAGCCAACCAAGTCATAAAGATCACCCCATATAACAGTCGAGACTTCTGTTCCTTCAAGGTCACGGCTCATGCGCATATTCTTTTTGGAAAAATGAATGTACAATTTGACCATCATTGAGTCGAAAATCGGTAGTTTTTCACAAATTTTCCAACATGCCTGATCACCGAAAAGGGGAGGAACCACGAAAATATGCCATTGACCCACTAACAGAGGGAAAATCGGGCAGCACAGTGGCTAAATAGTTAGCACTTCCGCCTGGCAGTACTAAGGTCGTTGGTTCGTATCCCAACCACGGCACCACCTGCCTGGTTCTAATTTACTATCACTGTTCTCTAGCTGGTCTAAAACCGCTTTTGACCTAAAGGAACGCTTTTTGGACGCCATGGACGTTTCTCAGTTTCCAGGCAGAAAGAACAGTAAAAATGCAGGCAGGGCACAGGACAAAGCACTAGGGACAAAATGTATGTGAAATGGTTTGATACAGTAATGTTTTACTATGTGATTTTAGTGTATTTAGTGAATGTCACTTTTTGTCATTTTCAAATTTCCCGCTGTTCCGTCTCCTATGTCCCGACGCTCGCAGGGGACGGAACCCAGATGCCGGCATCCGCCGGAGGACATTACAGGGGACACTGTAGGAGGGACATTGCGGGAGCGCAGGAAAGGTAAGAGAAGAACAGATCCCGGAGCAGCGCCGCATGGTAAGCCCGAGTGTAGCTCGGGGTTACCGCTTGTGGTACTGAAACTTTACCCCGAGCTACACTCGGGAATACCGCCAGGGGGGTTAAGCAACACAGTGGCTAAATGGTTGGTACTTCCGCCTGGCAGTACTAGGATTCGAATCCCAACCACGGCACCAGCTGCCTGGAGTTTGCATGTTCTCCCTGTGCTTGCGTGGGTTTCCTCCGGCTACTCTGGGTCTCTCCAAAGACATGCTGGTAAGTTAATTGGATCCTGTCTAAATTGGCCCTAGTGTGTGTGTGTATGATTGTGAATTAGGGACCTTAGATTGTATGCCCCTTGAGGGTTAGGGACTGATGTGAATGTACAATATGTGTATATGTAAAGCGCTGCAAAAATTGACGGCGCTATATAAGCAGCTGAAATAATAATAAATAATATTCTTAGGTCCGAAAAATCGGTCGAATTTCGACCCATGTATGGTTTCATTATTCATGCACATGCTTCTTACAGGGTAACATCCTTTTCTGTGGCATGCTTCAAAGTTCCAACATGCAGCAGGCAGGGAGGAGAGCCCCGTGTTGTTTACCAAAACAGGGCACTCTTTTGTCATTTGCTGGACTGATCAGCGGGTCCCATTGGCCTCCCCGGTTGTGCTGTTATTCACAATCCCTGACCAATGGGACCCGCTGATCAGTCGAGCAAATGACAGAAGAGAGCCCTGTTTTAATAAACAACACAGGGCTCTCTACAGACAGCAGCGATGTGTGATTTTTTTTCTCCTGTAAAGCGGGGAGTAAAAACCAGAACATTGCTTATTAAAAACAGCACACAGTACATACATTACCACTTGTTAGGCACAAATTAACCCCTTGATTGCCCCTAAATGTTAACCCCTTCCCAGAAAGTAATTAGTAAAATGACAGTATATATACTAGCACTGATCACGTTATTTGTGTCATTGGAGATTTCAGTGGCAGTTTGTCTGCTAGTTCCAACAAAATGTCAGTTAGTGTCAGATCTCCCACCTTACTATCACAGTCCCACTATAAGTCTTTGATCACTGCCATTAATAGTATAAAAAATATATATAAGATTCCAGTATATATACCAGCATTTCTGGACACTATAACCTTCATGCAAACCAAACAATATACACTTATTGGGATTTTTTTTTATCAAAGACATGTAGAAGAATATATTTTGGTCTAAATATATGAAGAAACTTTTTTTTTTTAATGAATGTTTTATAACACAAAGTAAAAAAAAAATGTTTTCTTTTCAAAATGTTTGGTCTTTTTTCATTTATATAATGAAAAATAAAAAAAAAAACTAGTGGTGATCAAACACCACCAAAATAAAGCACTATTTTGTGTGAAAAAATTATATAAATTTAATTTGGGTACAGTGTTGCATGACTGCAAAATTACCAGTTATAGTAGTGCAGTGCTAAATGGCCTGGTCATGAAGGGGGTAAAATCTTCCAGAGTTTAAGTGGTTAAGAGTGGATTGTATAGTCTGAGAAGAGCAGTGCACATGACTGTGATTATACTCATACTGCTCAAGCCTCCAACCAGAAGTTGCGGCCTGGCTCTTCCAAGGTTTTTGGGGCAGTATATGAAGTCAGCAAATGAAAAAAATCTTTTGGGAAGTCCATTCAGGAGAATAAATAATAAGATGGGTGTTATACATTGTAACTAACTTGTTCCTTTTTTTTCACATGAGGGATTAAAGTGGTTATAAACTCTTACATATACCCAGTGATGTGACTGGTCTCAGGTGATACACAGAGATTAAACAAATCCTCCTGCATAAGTTGTACCTGTTTATCTATAGCCCCCGACTCTCTACAGCTGTTTAAAGTGCAGAATTTACACAGGATTTCTCAGCTCTGAAAAGCAGGGGGCGGGGAGCTAAAGTTACACTCAGTAAGGAGAGTTCTGAGAGCTAATTGGATGGAAAGGACCCCCCCCCCCTTTCACACAGCACACAGGAACAGAGCTGAGGCTGTCAGTCCCTCTCCTTTCAATATTTTTATCTTGGTGTCAAGAAAACTCAACAGAAGTGATTCATCCTGATAGCAGAGGAATTAGGCAGTGGACAGAAATTACACTTGGCACTCTGGGTTGAGACAAGCACACACTATAGAGGGATATGCTTTGTTCATATTTCATGTCTGAGGTTTACAACCACTTTAAGGCCTGTTTGTACCAGCCCCCATGCTAAAACATTGTGGGCTGGTGTCATTGGTGTAGGGGCGGTGCACTGTATTGTTACAATGCATCTCACTGTTTAGATTTTATTAAAAGCAAAACTTGGGGATAAGCAAATAAAACAGTTATGTATTCCTACTTGAATCTTGGTGTGCTTTTTGTATTTCTTCCAGATCTAAGAACTGCTCACTGCCGATTTCTCTCCTTGATTAGGGTGACTGACTCCGCCCCCTCCGGTAGGTTCTGCTGGCAACCTGAGTGGGCGGGTTCTGTTGGGTCCCTCCCACAGCTCTTCTCTCTGCAGAGGTTATGTACAGTACAGCACAGTGATAATGTCACTGCTACTTTTACAAGGTAATATCCAGGTTTGCAAAGGCATTTGATGCACACAAAGTGGATTTATATTCTCTGTAGCTACTGAGTAATATTATGTCAACATTCCTGTGCCTGGAGTTCAGCTTTAACTTTATTGACATGCCATACTTCCTTTAAAGTAGAATTCCAGCACAAACCCTACTAGTCTTAAGAATGCCCCTTCCCCCTCCTAAGGCCTCATGTACACATGAACTCCCCGAAATGTCAAGCTCTTCTACCAACAGAAAAACTCTAAACACGGCAAAAACTCATGTAAACGTGGTATCGCGTTTAGGGCTTTGATATTTATCCATTTGATTGGTCAGAGTATTTTCCACTGACATGGATAAACGCCCAAGCAATAAACGCGGCTAGCGTTTACATGCTTTTTTGCCATGTTTAGCGTTTTATTGCCAAAACGTTCCTCTGATGAAAGTGATTCTTCTGCATTCAGGAGAGGAACGTTTAACTGCCCCTAAACTCTAGTAAAAGCCCATGTGTACATGGACACATTGGCTTTTATTGAGTTGAGTTTAGGGGTTGTGGCAAAAAAACGCCAAAAGCTCCTAAACTCCTGTTGAGGAGCAGCAGTGTACATGAGGCCTAACACCTATGCTGACTAACCTATATAAGAAAGATGTACATACTTGCCTTTTTTCAGCTCGCTCCAGTCCGGCCACGTGATCTGGCTTCCTTGGGTCAGTCAGTGGTGGCTGCAGGGGAGAAGAGCGAACGGAGACAGCGAATGGGACATAGCAGCCTATGGGTGAGGTCAATGTTCCAGCCATTGTGGACCACGTGACTTCACCAGAGAAGGCTTTAACCACAAGCCTACAAGGCACTTATACTACCCCCTTCCTGCCCATGCCAATTTCCAGCTTTCAGCTCTGTTGCACTTTGAGTGACAATTGCACGGTCATGCAACACTGTACCCATATGAAATTTTTATCATTTTTTTGTGACAGATAGAGCTTTATTTTGGTGGTATTTAATCACCTCCTGGGTTTTTTTTTTTTCTTAAACAAACCAAAAACCACTGAAAATTGTGAAAAAAAAAGGTTTTTTTCTTAGTTTTTGTTATAAAATTTTGTAAAGAAGTGATTTTTCTCCTTTACTGATGTGCGCTAATGAGGCTGCAGTGATGGGCACTGATAGGCTGCACTGATGGACCCTGATAGGTGGCACTGATGAGGAGGCACTGGTAGGTGGCACTGATGGGCATTGACAGGAATCACTGATGGGCACTGAAAGGCAGCACTGATGACTGGCACTGATGCGCACTGATAAGCGGCACTGACTGGCACTGATAGGCGGCACTGATAGGTGGCACTGATTGGCATTGACAGGTGGCACTGACTGGCACTGATGGGTGACACTGAAAGGCAGCTCAGATGGGCACTGATATGTGGCATTGATGTGCACTGGTAGGCACTGATGGGCACTGGCACGAGGCACTGCTGAGCACTGACACAAGGCACTGATGGACACTGACAGATGGCACTGCTGGGGCTACACTGATCATCAGGGCACACTGATCATCAGTGCCCTGATGATCAGTGTACATGTCCCCTCCGCGGAAAGCCTATTACCGGCTCTCCTCTCCTCATGAGCTGTCAGCGTGACAGCTCAAGAGGAGAGAAATGCCGATAACCGGCATTTCCCTGTTTACATGTGATCAGCTGTGATTGGACACAGCTGATTACATGATCGAGCCGACAGCTTCGGCTCTTTCCGTGATCGGTGATCCGCTGTGTCCCCGCCGATCGCCATGCTGCGCGCTCCCTGAGCCGCGTATGTGCGGTGAGAATGGGAGGACATCATATGACGTCCTCCCAGAATGAGAGAACCACCTTGCATCCGTCATATTACTATATGGCGGGCGGGAGGTGGTTAAATAAGGTAAGTATATATATTTTTTTACATGGATTAGTCAGCAGAGGTGTTAGAGGGGGGTGGGAGTGTTTTAGGACTAGTTAGGTTTAAGCTGAAATTCTAATTTAAAGTCAATGCACCCCAGTGTGTTGCAACACTCTGCTGGAAGCAGCGCACGACTCCACACCTCACCACAGCAATTGCTTTCTAGGTGTCCTAGCATTGAGTCTGCATTGATCAGTTCAGATCAACACAGCTGGTGTGAAGAAGCCCAAAGTGAGGTTTTAAGGCCCCGTTAGCATCTCGCAATTTGGGATCGTGGGCAGAATCGCTATGATTCTTTCAGCAACCCCAAATCACGGTAGAACATGCAACGCACTTTTAGGTGCCATTATTCCTTAATGGCATTCCAAGTTTTAAAACACATGCCATGCTTGTTGCCCCCCCAAAAAAAAAAGAGCATGACCTTCTTTTTGGTTCGACAAACGCACATAGGACAGTCCAAGAAGTGAATGAATTGCCCTATGTGCGACACACCAAATCACATGCAATCGCTCAACAAAATCGTGAGTGGGAACACTTATTCCCGCTACGAGAAAGTGTTAATGCATTCTAAGGTTAAGGTTTTTGTAGCTTTTCTTAAAGAAATCTACAAAAGAAGTGCTGAGTCCCTAAGGAACAAAAACCTTAGTTGCCCATTTTCAGGCCTTTGTTTAAAATTTTATAGCTGCTGAGCCTTGAAAGGTAACCAGGCCAGCATGACATGAATTATGGCATTTTGTATGCTTGGTTAAACAGACTTTCTTTGTGGAAGGACTGGAGAAATAATAAGGAAAACAGGAAAGGAGATTCTCTGTTTGCAGAACACGGAGCAGTGCGTCCCGCTGTGAGGAGATGACCATCATTCTGAGTGCGATACCTGAAGACGCTCAGCGTGCCAACATTTGCAGCATTTGCATCAATGTTCAGCAATGTTCATGTTTAAACAGAGAAAGGAAAAGCAAAGCACACACAGACTGACAGCTCTCTCTCTCTGTCTTTCCATGAACACTTTTCCTCCTACTCATGCATGCAATGTTTGAAAGAGACCTTCTCCTACAGTCAGGAGGTACAAAGCTCTCTGCTTTTAAAGCTGACATCTTGCAGAAACCCATTAGAGATTTTTCTGCTTGACTTGTTTATGCTGAACTTTTTTTTTTTTTAAGTAACTAATTTTAATAATGAATTTAATAAAAGATTCTTTACGTCTTAAAAAAGAATTCCACTTTTGCAGCCAAAACCTACTTGTTCCATGCTTCTATTCACATGGGATAACAGAAAAAAAAACATTTCACAATTGCTGCTTACTTTTTTACTTGTTTTTCTCTGAAAACTCATTGATAGCAAAATCCACAGTTCTATATTTCCATGAAAAGTCTCTGGAGAGGCTTGTGTTTGCCATAATTAACCATTTTAAGACCAGTATCCTATTATAAAATGTACCGCGCTATTGAAATATAAACTTGTGGTGGTTATAAATGTAGCTGAAAAAGCACCACCTATAGTTCCCTAAATTAGGGGCATAAGTTCAAAATAATATATGTACTTGGTGCTGCACTACAATTCACCTTCTGTTGGTATAAATATGTAGAATGCATGTTCGGCCGTTGTTAAACCCAAAAAAATCTAAAAATAAAATGTAAAAATGTGTATAAGAATGTGCTACAATACACCTGCCTCCTATACAAAACACATATGGTTTTCGTCAAAATAGAATGTACACACTTCTAATGATCATGATTAAACAAAAAAACTAAAAAAAACAAAAAAAAAAATGCACACAAAACGTATGGTACTACAATGAACCTCCCTCTAAAAATTACCTTGAAAGAGTCTCAAAATACATAAAAGTAATCCCCACTGCTTGATTACTAGTTATCATATCAATACAACAAGAAATACAATGGGAAACATCAAGGGTGCTACAGTGCACCTCTTTCTTTGCACTTGAAAATGTATAAAAGTTCCTACAACTAACAAGTTCATGTAGTGTACAACATAGAAGTCCACAATAAAGTGCTCAATTTATCCATGATAAGGTGCTTGGATAAATGTAAGGTCCTCTCAATACACTGGTGCTCTTGTGCTTGTACTCCCTCTCCTTGGACCGCACTCACTAGTATTCCATGACCCCTTAGTTTGAATAAGTGGGTCTATAATGGCTTTGTTCCTTTGCAGGGCGATATATACCTTCCATATATTGGATACGCCACCAATCTTTCCTCCTCCACTCCAGGGATGCAAACATAAAGGGAACCATAGAAGAAGCCCCCAATAGTGTTATATCACTTTATTAGAATGATAAATTAAAACAGAAATGCACTTATAAAATGGCCTGCAATGCCATATAAGCAAACACACATAGACGTGTCCAGAATGCTCTTGCATTCCACGAACCGCAAATGAGGTACCGGAAGTGACGTAAGATCATCAGGAGAGGCACTTTAAGACCAGGCCTTTTCTGACACTTTTTGTTTACATGCAAAAATTAGGGCTTTTTTACTTAAAAACCCCAAACATTATATATGTTTTAAAGTACAGGCCCTAGAGAATAAAATGGTGGGTGTTGCAATTATTTATGACCCTTAGCAGGGGCGGACTGACCATTCGGGCACTCGGGCACTGCCCGAGGGCCCATGGTCAGTAGGGGGCCCCATGAGATGCCCCTGGTACCTCTCATAGGCTTTTTTGGGTGTGGTTTGAGTGTGGGCGAGGACACAGGGGCTCCATGATCCCCTATTGCCCGGGGGCCCCATGAGCTGTTAGTCCGCCCCTGACCCTTAGTTTTTGCACAGCGGTGTTTCAGACACAACTTTAAACAAAAAAAAAAATTACACTTTTCTGAATTTTAATGCACAAAAACACAATATAATACCCAATTGTTTTGTAAAATTTAAAAGGTAATGTTACACTGAGTAAATAGATACCAAACATGCGATAAAATTGTGCACGCCCATTCAAAAGAGACAAACAGTGTAAATTTCATCATCCATAGGCGACGCTTTAGAACCTTTTGCAGGTTACTACTTTATCAGGGGACTGACCATTTGGAAACTCAGGCACTGCCCGAAAGCCCGGGGTCAGTAGGGGGCCACATGAGATGCCCCTGGTACCTTTTTCATAGGCTTTTTTGAGTTTGGGAAAGCACATAGGGGCCCCATGATCCCCTATTGCCTGGGGGCCCCATGAGTTGTCAATCCACCCCTGTACTTTATATGTACACAGGAGGTCTGATTCTAGAATTACTGCCCGCATTTTGATGTTTGCGGTGCTACCTCACATGTATGGGATGATCGCTGTTTGTAGCTGTGATAACAATAGGCAGTGACATGTACTTATAGTGCATATATTATTTTTTCCCAAAAGGTGAACTTATCCTTTAACCAGCAAGATGAAACTCCCAGTGAAGTAAACCTAAGAACAATACAGGGGATGCCACTTTTCACCTTTTGAACTAAGCAGACTTCTGGAAGGCATATGAGTATAAAGATTATTATTATTATTATTATTTATTATTATTATACAGGATTTATAACACCTACAGTTTGCTCAGCGCTTTACAATATAAAGATTATGAAAAATCCTGGAGAGTACTGCTATGAATGCATAGAAAGATTTCTTTTTTCAGCAGAAACAGAGAATATTTATGGTGGTAAAAACTGGCTGCAGACTGAAATAGAAGGGTTATTTTTAATATTACATTACAAAAAGATTGAACTCTGCTGGACTTTCACAGACTAGAAATGCAACAGCAGACATTGAAAACTACAAAGCAGAGATGAGAGGTGGATTACTTATTATTATACAGAATTTATATAGCGCCAACAGTTTGCGCAGTTTTACAATATAAAAGGGAGACCATATAGCAACAATACAAATTCAAAACAAGAGGGTTAGACGGGCCCTGCTTCTGGGAGCTTACAATCTTATAGAGAGGAGCTGGTGGAACAAAAGGTGAGAACTGTGGGGGATGAACTGATGGGAGAAATTATTATTATTAATATACAGGATTTATATAGCGCCAACAGTTTGCGCAGCGCTTTACAATATAAGGGAGACAGTACAATTACAATACTTTCAGTACAGAAGGAATAGGAGGGCCCTGCTCGTGGAGCTTACAATCTAAAGAAGGGGGAGATGATACAAAAGGTGAATGCTGCGGGGGATGATCTGGTGGAGGTGATTCAAGTACAGTTCTTAGGTGGAGGTGGGGTAGGCTTCCCTGAAGAAGTGGGTTTTCAAAGATTGCCTAAAGGCAGACAGGGTGGGGGCTGACCGGACATGCTGTGGTAGGGAGTTCCAGAGGATAGGAGAGGCTCTGGAGAAGTCCTGGAGGCGAGCGTGGGAGGAGGTGATGAGGGAGCTAGAGAGGAGGATATCATGGGAGGAGCGGAGTGGGCGATTTGGGCGTTATCTGTGGATGAGGTTGGCGATGTAGCTAGGGGAAGTGTTGTGGATGGCTTCGTATATAAATATACGTATGTTTGTATATAAATATATGTAGAGAAAAAAAAGATTTGGTTATCAGCTGAAGGAAGGATAAGCTTTCCTGAAGAGGTGAGTTTTCAGGGATTGCCTAAAAGTAGACAGAGTAGGAGACAGCTGGACAGATTGGGGTAGGGAGTTCAAGAGGATGGGAGAGGCTCTGCAGAAGTCCTGTAAACGAGCATGGGAGGAGAAGACAATGGAGCTAGAGAGCAGGGGGTCTTGAGAGAAGCAGAGAGGACGGTTTGGATAATATTTTGAGACAAGATTGGTGATGTAGCTTGGGGCACAGTTTGTAAATGACTTTCTATGTTATTGTTAATGTTTTGAATTTTATTCATTGGACAATGGGAAGCCAGTGGAGGGAT